GAGCCTAAACTTGTTTATGAAATGTTTCATCGTAAGAAGTTATTAACAGTTATAAACAAAAAAACGCTCAAAACTGTCCCGAGTAGCCCCGGTTGATGGTATATATAACTGCAAGTAATGACAGAGATGATAATGATTGATTGGTAGGTATTTCATTTCACATAATTGTAGGGCCACAGCCCACAAATCAAATTTGACATATGGTATCAAACTCTATTAGTTTGTTAACAAAAATTTGCTTGGAAACAAGAAACACATCTTGTTAAATATTTTTTCCATACTTAGACTGATCTAAAATTACTTAGAACTCCGAACATAGAATTTGAGTTTAACCCACTTAAACTTGCTTGTAGCTCTACTACTTTGGAGCATTCAAATTATATAAAAATTGAATTTTTCCAGCCTTGATAAACTATATTCCAGCCACTAAACTATATTAATTAAATTCAATCATAGTAAATTACCATCTCTTCATAGTGAAAACTCATAATAACCCTGGTAGGTACATTTTTAATTCATTGAGTGCTGCACGACCCACCATTGTGTTGCAACTGTTGCATGATCTTTTTTTTCAGACAAAGTCCACAATATAGTTTTTTTAATTGCATTGTCTAGTAAAAATTTATGTTACTTTCTTATTAAATTTTTAAAAGTACACAAAATGAAAATTTAATTTTTTCACCGGAACTTACAAATTTACTTGTATATATTGAATTACAGGCCTTTTATATCAGTGGATCTGGCTGTTTTTAGGCTATCTGGCAACCATGGTTGGCCATGCTGTACTCAACATGTTAATCAGTAATTTGGTATTTACCTCTGAACTCTTAGAGAACAGGTCTTGTTTTCTTATTTATTCTTATAGGAGCACTGGAAAATGATCCATTCAGCTTCTTGCCTAAACAGGCTTTAATTTGTGCTTAACAGTTTTAAAAATCTGAAGCATGAAAAAAATAAAAGAACAGAGAGAAAAAAAAACAACAGTAAAAATAAGAAAAATTAATCAATAGAACAAATAAATAAGTAAATATAAAAACAAATACAGCAAAATACAAATTTATAGGTAACAAAAATTTTAATGATATAAAAAAGGCAATAATATTACAAACAATGACACAAAGGAATATAAAAATATTGTAAGTAAAATGACAGTATAAATTGCATGGGCAATTTGTGCATACTCATGATACTGTAAGTCTGTAACATACTGAGCCTAACTGAGCCACTGAGGTAGGTACATAATGCAAAATTGGATGCTAATACTCCAGTCATGTATCAGCCTATCAGACAAGTTTTCATTTTAAGTAACAATTGAATATTTGATACCAGGGCCATATTAGTTTTCCTAAACATGCCCTAACTTGCGCCACACATGAGACAACATACAAGATTCTAATGACTTTATGCTAACTGAAAGTCCAGTCTTGAGCTTCTCTTGGCTCAACAGCCAGAGAAAGAAAGATCTACTCTGACTGCAAAACAACTCAAGTATTAGTAAACACCATCCCATGCGGGTGGAATAATAACGGAGGTCGGTGGATAAGGAAGGCCAACTGGCCAAGGCTGAGTAAAGTAGGGAAAGAGTAGCACTCCTCATGAGTCATAAAAGTGGGAAGCCTGCCAAAGACCACCACTGCCCTGGATGTAATGGACTATCATGACTCCTGCCCTCCGGAACGTAGCCTTCAACACTTCTGGAAAATCATATAGGCAGCCGAAAGCCACCAGACAGAACGAATCAATTGAACTAGACCAATCAGCCCTCAGGAGAAACAGCCGGCGATCGAATGGCCTAGCATCGTCCGCCGCACCGCGAAAAAATTCTACACCACTCGGACGTAGCGCACCGGAGCCTTGCAGCGAATGTGATATCCGCCACCAAGCCGTCCCGGCCCATCCGTATCTAGGCAGTGCGTCGAACCAGCGCTCGGTCGAACGCCCGCGGGTCGAACGCTCCAGCCGAGTGCTAACCCAACCTAACCTAAGCTAACCTGACTCAGCCAGTCGCACGGCTCTTTCGACCGACGGCCAGGTGGTGCACGGCAGGTTTTATGCGAGGCCGGAGGTGGGCAAAGCCAAGTGGTCGCAGGCTGTTGCGCGCAAGTTGCAATTCAAGCGGTGGTCAGGGTATGAAGTGATGCTTCGACGCAACATTCAGTGGTGGACGGCCATTCGACCCTAGGCTATTCGACCTCGTGTCTGGGCCATGGTCAGGAACTAGTCTGGAAAAGTCCTATTTTTGTCCGAAATATCGCGGCTCTAATATCATATAATTTCAGTAGGTATGAAATCTCGCGGCTCAAATGTCATACATTTTTGTTTTATTAAAAAATCGCGGTTTGCACTTCGCAAACATGTCATTTCATAAAATTTTCAATTTCCGCAATCCGCATTGCTTTACCGTTTCCACCAAAAATATCTTGCAGAAAAAACATAAACATCGTAATGTAAACAAATCAACAAAACGTTTGTTGAAGATCACGCATAGTTGCGGTCATGTCAAAGCGGTCAGACTGTATATTAACACGTGCTGAACTTACAGTAGAGACAAATTTTATTGTTGCCGTTTGACTGTTTAAGGGTANATGTATCTACACTATCTATCTATGTATCATAATGTATGTATTTATCTACTTGCAAGGAAGAGAAGACAGTACAATGGAGCCCGGTCAAGCGGGTCAAGCGTCCCTAACGCGTCACGATGTAATGTAAACAATCCGACCAAGAGTAGTAGTAGAGTAAACTTGTACAATTATGCTAAAAAAATGTGTTTGTAAAGCATTTAAAGTGAAACAATAAATTAAATAAGGTTGCTGAAGATTTTATTTCACACTGTTGCCAGTGGTGTTTCGGTGTTCTCTCTTCTGCTCTGCCTTGCTGAAGATTAGAGAAAATCGTCGCCGAAGGTTCTAGAAGGTTGCCAAATGTGTTGATCAGTTGGAGCTGTACGCTGGTCAGCTGGATGCCTCAACGTCGCCTAAACGTCGCCTCACAGAAAGCATCGTTGGCAGCATAGCCGAAGCTTCTGGAAGGTTGACTGCGTTGCCGAAGCTTCGGGAAGATTGGTAAATGGCGTCGGCAAGATCTTCAAAGAAGTAAATTTGTCTGCTAATTCGTCTCCAAATATCTTTCAAATCTTTATCACTCTCTGCATAGTGGTGCGCGAACACGTGCGCGAAGAGAATCAATTTTCATTACATTGCGCCAACGCCCAACTGAGCACAGCAATAGCTTAAAAAAAAGTGAAAATGAGCGGGAAAATTCACCGAAAATATACATCATCCTGAGTGTGGTGTCTGGGGCCGGGGGGTGTGGAGCTCAAAATATTCAAAGCAGAAGGATGTCAATGATTGGTTACGGATAGCAGATTCCATTCACGGCTGATTGGTGGATGTCCGGAAAGATCCAAGGCGTTCGATTCAGGGCTTATTGGTGTACAAAATTTGTGGTGCACGGCTGCGTTCCCTTC